TAACTAGGGTATAAAATACTGGAGCAAGCGAGACAAAATCACACCAATGCTTAGATGGGCAAAGAAAGAAACCCTGGCAGTCGAGTAATAGCTGTAGTGTGAGAGGATGTAAGTATGTTTTGGAACTTTCATCACGTTCAACAACCTTAGGCAGGTTACCCTGACAACCAGTGATTCCACAATACTGATGTGTTTGTCCTGTTTTTTGGTAGAACAAACACCACAAAGAAAACTATCAATTAGCATCCCTACCCATGGATGTAGAGACGAATATCCATGAATAAATGAAAGAGACTGATGAAACAAGGGGCATGTTAACAGGAACTACGAAAACTGTTGGAACCAGCCAAACACCTCAAAAATCTCCAAGTGTATTAAGATACTTATAGTAGGAATAGGAAAAAAAAAGTGGACAGTAAACTCTGATTGGCCTTATTGCTACCTGAAGATTAGGAACATAAACACGTTCTAGTCCTAACTCCCTATTCACAAAAGTAGCAAGGTCCCCTAGGGAATCTAGATGAGGAAATTCAGACCTTGATCATTATCACCCATGCCATAAGCATTGCAAACAAAAGCAGTACCACCTTTCTCAGAACTCATCCCATTTAAAAAAGTTTCAAAATAACCTTGAGAACCTTCATCAAATTCCAAATTGCAAAGGTATGCAACAACACAATAGGTAGTTAAGGGCTCTTCATTCTTATACCCAACATCAGAAAGAGAAGTTCCAGAAGTTTAAAAGTGTTGGAACCATGAGCTACATTTTCAGGAATATTAGAAACATTATGGTTATTACAAAAAATAATTCTGAATTAACAATCTCAAGCATTTCTAGAAACAAGAACTTACACGAGTCAAAAATTTCATGCGAGTTCCAAATCCCTCACAGCACAATAAAGCCAACATGATGAGGAAACAACAAAGTGTTAAAAAATGTGTAACAATATCCAGGAAAATAGTACTGAGGTAAACACTAAACAGAGTTAGAAAAAGGGGTGATGAACAATGATTGGTTTATGACTATAATGATATGAAGATATAGTTTTTGCATTGAGAAAAATCTTATCTGTTTAGTTGTCATTTCTGTATTAATACATCTATAGTAATAGTCTGATTAACCTTCACCTTCAAGTTTAAGTAAATAGTCAATTGTATGCTCTATTTTGTATGAATATCATTTGAATGGTTAAAAATAACTTACTTGTCCACAAGATAGAAAAACCTCTGGTTCAACAGGACAACAGGATATTCTCCAAACCAAGTCTGTATGAGCTGAAACAATGCAAATCTATTTTTAGCTCACTTTATAATGAATTACAAAGGATTTTCCAAAATAATTTTATAAAAGTTGGCAGTAAAACAGACTTAAAAGAAATTAACAATTTTATTCCAAAATGAATAATATTTTGTTTTTCATTCTTGGTTATTTTTCATATAAAAAAATTTACAGTACAAACCTTTCATTTGTTTCTTTTACATCAAAAAGTTAAAGGTTTTATAACTTTAATCAAACATATTCAGTGACAAGTATATACATATAGAATATAATGTACTTTAAAAATGTCACTTTATTTAAGATGTAAAGTAATTTATGAAACATATCATCGTAAATTTACCACAGAATTTAACATCAGGTATGTTTACTAGGGGTGCACCAATATATCTGTAGGCCTGGAACTGATATAAGAAAAAATTACATTATCGGATATTGTCCATTTTTGTTGTTGTACCCATGTTTGTTTATTTTCGCATAGAATGTTTTGACACTTGCTACTTGAATTTTGTATTTTCATGATGCCCAAAACTACCACAGTTACACAAATCTCACCATGGCTCTGTACCATTCTATAAAGGCCATCAGTTTTAACATTATCAAGTATTCCCAATACCTATCTTTGCAATATGAAACATGTTAAAATAGTACAGCAATCTGTTTTAGTTTCTTAAAATTATGAGCATTCAGATGTTAATTTAAAGCATCATATTGTCTACATGCTGGTATTGTTATGACTAATGCAGGGCACAAATTCATCATTATGCTGGATTTATCCCCTAACTTTTTTCGTGATGAGGTTAATAATAACGTTTACATTTGTAAGGTTTCAACTATAAACTAATGAATGTTACAGTTACATTTCCAAAGTTAATATATAAGTAGTTTTTTCTTCTTAATTAAGTGCACAAATTAAATACTATTTGTGAATTTTTGTTATAAATACAACCAGAAAAAAAATCACCTATAGGTAAACTTTAGATTTCTGTCAGTAGTTTAAAGTATCTTACCTGTACTAATACTAACTATCAGTATCTGCCAATGTGGTTGGGTAATCATCAGCTATCAGTAAGTAATGGCCTAGATAATCTTAATCAGTGCACCCCTAAAGTTAACTCCAAACGTAATATGAAACTTCACTACTAAATCATCATACAAAAACAAAAACTGAAAACAAATCATTATATTGTACACTGAAAATTCAAGGTTGAACAAATAATACACTTATAATATATAACAAAATTTTCCTATCTTATATATATTTTACTACCACATCTTACAAAGTTTGAAACATTTTTCATATTATTCTATACTGCACTTTTCACACCATACTGTATATATATCTAACACAAATATTTGTATATTAAATTCATAGTCATGGTTAACCTTTGAATTTTCCTTTTCGATTCTGATGTCCAAATCATTTAAATTGTTGAACTTTTCTGTTCCTGGAACACTTTTAAGCTGTGTTTGAGCTGATTTCCTGACCATTTAAAAATGCATTAATATACTATTATGCAGGCCCAACTAATATCCAATGACAAAGAAAGGTCTTTTATTAAAATAGGTATTATTTACTACTTTTGATGGTTTCATAACTTAATAATTTTTTGTGTTCTCTTCTGATGGTGTAAAAATGTACAAAACAATAATATATAGTAACATCAATTCTTGTTAGAAGAAGTAGACCTGTTATGCAGTTTAAACTAGTCATATATCCTGCTGAACAAAGTATGATTTTATCAACTAAATTTATCTTATTACAGTACACAAAACAACCAAAATTTGCATATTTAGGTCATAACAATTTCTAACAACTGATAACAAAATTTTTAAACATTTTAAACTAATGTTACTCTTGTGGTAAATATCTGTTTTTTCTCTTTATTATTCTGATTTTATGTCATTAAACATACGAGAGCTACACGAAGTTTTTTTCACAATGGAACTGAAAATAAACTTTCTCGTGCCGGTTTTTATAATTATTTCATTTGTAAATTCATGTACTAGTATATATAGATAAATCTATTCATACATTTGCTCTGTGATGTCTTCTAGTGGCGATATCGCCTCTCTACTTAGGCAATTTTGCCTGATACTTAATTAATGCTTACAAAATTTAGCATTCCAAAGTAAAACTAGCAAACTGTGTTACTAGTTATGACATATACTAAACATGTAACTTTGTATCTGCTTTATCTTGCAGATTTTTGTTAAACTAGTATTATATTAATAAGTGCTCTAGCAGTACTTAACCCGATGACCACCGGCTACTTACTTTCTGAGTAGCCAATGCAAGTCTTGCTATATTTCATTCCAACAATAAAACTAGTGGATGAAACTATTTGAAACTTCATAAGAACTTTCATAAATGCACGTAGTTTAAGAAACATAAAGCCTGTTACTTTTAATAAATTTAGTTTTTTGCATTATGATCTTTAATATCTTGGAAAATTACATTCGGAAATGGTATTTATACGAAGTGATTACAATATTTATATTTGTTCCAGACTTGAACTCATTACTTTTTATGTTTTAGTATATTATTTTAAAGTCCCTAAAAACTTTTTATTGTCTATAAAATGCTAATTTCATCTATTTTTAATTTTTTTAATAATCATGTACTCTCCTTATGGTTTCAAGTAATATATAAGACCCGAAAATAATATTTCTGAGTAAACCTAAACAACAAATGAGTATTTTTATTTTTAACTAGGATTTTATGTTTATATATGTACATAAAAAACATCTTAATTTTGTTTCATAAATGTATTTTTATTTCAAGTTTATGTTTATGTTTCATTGCAGCCGTACTTTTGTTTATTGTGCCGAATAAATTGTGAGGTTAGCAGCGTGAACTTTGTACATTTGCCGTAACCTATCATGCCTGTTGATGGTCACTCTTGTCCAGTCCAGCGCAGGTGCATTTCAACATTACTGTGGGTATGATAATAAGAAAGCTTTTCGGTACTTGAATATCATTTCTTTGTACTTTCAAACAACGTTTATTTTAACATATGTCCTTGTATGTTGTTTCACTATACAGACAAAATTAATTGCCACTATTAGCGAATGTATGTAATAGTTTACAGTACAGGTGGTTTGAATAACACCACCTGACCCTAGTTACTTGATACATCCTGTTAGAAGAGATTACCAAAACGATATAGACACCATAAATTACAAAGAAAATTACTTTACAGCACTTAAAAGATTATTCCTGGTCACATTCCTCTCATTATAGGCAAGATTTATATTGGAATTCAAAACTTAAGCTATTCAGTGTATTGAGACCCCAACTGTGAGAATGTCGTAGCTTCTCTGTATTATTGAGTCGAACGTATTAAGTCTGTTTCACAACCAACATACGGGTTTTATTGTTGTCACCTGTACACTGAGTTTTAAACCATTTGCAAAATATCAGAATAAACTTGATATATATCAGTTAGACTGTTTTAATTCTAAAGCAACAACAGAAGTGTGGGCCATACTACAAAGTAAAGATAGTAAGAAGGAAAAATATAAAATTCTTATGTGGTACTGATACTAGTAGCATTACGTACAAATCACAAGTTTATCACTCTAAATACTGAATCATATTATTATTATGAACTAAATATAAAATTTCACTAAATTATTGAACTTAAAACTACTAATTTAAATGCAAAAGAATATAAAAAATCACAAACTCTTTCAGTTCAAAGTGCTAAGCCTAATTCAGGTAAAGACTTTGCACTCGCCACTTGATAGCTCTTAACCCTAACAATCGTGGATCAACTTCTTTCCAAAAAAAATATATCTATTTTGAGTTAATTTTTCAATATAATGATTAATATAAATAGATATATGATACAGTATGACTTAAGCTACTATAGAAAAATAATAAAAGTTGCATACATCCCATGCAGTTTTTTCCTAGAAGCAAGTTTTCTAAGGCTAGTACTATTGACCAATACTAAATACATAAAACGGCAGCTACTATAATA